GGTCAATCTTATTACCTCAACATATGTCCCACATTTAGAGTGAAATTACTTACCAACCCTTACCTCGATGAATATTAAATGCAGAGTATGTATCTCTAAGGTAATCTTCAGTGATCTATGATTTTTCTAATTCCTCATAATGCTAAAATATTAAATAAATAAATGAGAAACATAAACATAAAAACTAATATAATCTCTTATAATCCCCTAACTCATGATTAACTTTTTAGTTAGTCCAATGACGTGATTACACTTCCCTTCCCTAAGACAAATAATTAATTTAAAACCATGTTTTTTTGTCTAATAATAACACCCATTTTTATAAACTGTTTGATTAACTATTATAAAAATATCATCAAACATTTAAAAAATTATTAGGTGTTACTTACGGGACTTGGATTAGAGGATTGAATTTGTCTCTAGGGAGCTGATTTGTTCTTCCCTTCTTCAATCTTGCTTTTTGGAAGCAAATTGTGGTAAGAGGAGCATTTTTTTATTATTTTCTTTTAAGTTGAATTGTATTCTAATCTTTGTTGTTTTAGCCAATGGTGGCTTGAATGGTTGATTTTGAAGATTTTGTTGCAGGTGGAAAGTTGGGGTTTTGTAGAGGTGAAACCAAAACCCAAAGGCTGATGATTTCTGGTAAATTCATGATTGCACGATGTGATGGTTTTCGAGTTGTTTATAATGTTTGGAAGCACTTTCATAGATTGTATGTAGTAGATGGTAGCTAGATGAGTTGAGAAAGCCCATGCACCATTGGGAGCCTTTATCGCTGGAAGGCCTCACTAGTAGAAAATAAGCATATTACGTCACCCCTTTTACGTCGGACGTAAAAAAGACGCAAATTTGAATAAGAGAGCGCGAGGCACACCGCGCGCATTCACTTTTCATCACTTTTCATTTTTTTCTCTGTAAACCCTCTCCCTCTTCTTTGTTACTGAATCGTTTTCTTGTTTTTTGCAGAGGGATGAACTCTTTGTTACTCATTTGCACATTGTTGTTGCTCCTCAGGTATGAAACAAGGTTTCGTTAGCACTTTTCTACTTAGCATTGCTACTCTGGTTATCTATTTTATTCGATTTTTTGGTTGTTTTATTTGTGTAGGTAGTGGACGTTTTTGTTGTTGTTATTCTACGAAGCAGAATGGCTTGTTCTGCAAGCAGAACGGCCTGTTCTGCAAGCAGAACGGGCCGTTCTGCCTGCGTTCTTAAGTTTTTTTTTTTGTTTTTTTACGACTTTTTTACGTCGGGTTTCGTAATTTCCGACGTAAATTTACGTCGGATTTGAAGCCCCGACGTAAAATTTACGTCTCCCGCTTCTACGTCGGTACGTTTTCTGACGTAAAAAACCTAAAATATCCGACGTAGTACACTTCTTTTGTACTAGTGCCTAAAACCCATAGTTATATCATATAAGCATTTTTTAATTTATTAGTTATGACACGCTATAATGTTTGAGTTAATATAATTTTTCAATAGTAAAAAGATACGGACAATAAAACAGTTTCGCTAACCCGAATGTGCACCAAAAATATTTCATCTTAAGATTACTAAATTCGTTACATCTAAAAAGCCTCAATCTGAGTTTTTCCTTTTTCTCTTTGGCAAATTAGCTCTTCATTAGAAAAAAAAAAAACTAGACTCAAATCCTAAAATTATTATAATAGATAATCACTTAAATTATAAACTCTAAATTCTAATATAAAATTAAGTTGGCATGAGTGATAAGAGATTCAAGTTGCTTAATTAAGTGTCTAAGAATTGAATTTTGACTCTTTACAAATGTAAAAAATTCAAGTTGAGAGAAATTGTCCAATTATTTGATATCTGACAAATTCTGAAAGAGATTATTCACATGTTTAAAGATGATAAAAGGTCAGATCTTGAATAGGAGTTTGACCTATTTAAATATGATTTAGACTAACATATTTATTCAAAAAGGTTTGATTTATGTTTATAAAAAAGTCTATTAGGTTAGATAGAACAACTTTTTTACTATATAATATAATAAAAATTAATATACAAATTAAAGTATTAATAATATAATTAAATAAATAAATTCTTAATTCAAAAAAATCAAATTATCTATATTTTTTTCATTTTAACTACGCTTAAACATTTTACATTCTTCATTCATATGAAATTAAGAAATAAAAAAAAAAAAAGCTCTAATAGTCACCTCTTTGTTTGCTCTTTTCCTTCATTTTCATGATTAGTTATTTATAATATTTTAAATAGAATATATGAAATATTTAGAAGGTTTAGGGTTTAGGGTTTAGGGTTTAGGGTATAAATTACCCTCTTTCGTCATAGTTCGTTCGTGAGTATATATGAGTATGTATGGATTATCTATTTTATGTCAGCTTTTGTATTTTTATTTTTTATAATCTAAATTTTAATAATAATAGAGTAAATTATTTTTTATCACGTAAATTTAAAAGAAAACTTGCACGTATATTTAAAAATATTTTTTGACTTATTTAAAATTAAGTTTTCTTGACTGGTTAATATAATATGCTTTTAAAAAGGTTAATAGACTAGATCAAACTTTTAAAAAGGTCAACCCAAACCTTTAAAAAATTATATGATAGATAATATATAAGTTAAACTTAAACTTTAATAAAATAGGTATAACCTATATATTTAAAGTCTAGTTTCGTTTGACCTATTCTCATTCTAACTTGTATTTAATGGGGAATATTTTTTGGTAATGAAAAAAAATACATAATGACTTAAAGTTCACTTTCATTTATTAGGTTTAAAATGCATTTTTAGTTCCTTAAATATTATAATTATGAAATTTTATTCTCTCAAATTTTAATTGGATAATTTTAGTTATTTAAGTATTATAATTGTAAATTTTTAGTCCCTCAATTTTTAATTGATCAATTTTAAGTGACACAATTGTGCAATATTAATCTCTTTTGTTAAAAATCTAATAATTTTTGATGATGTGATGCTAACCGTTGATATAATGGATCTCCATTTTTAATTAATATTCTTCTAATATATTTATCTTATCTAACATATTTATATTTCTGTAAAAATATATTAATATATATTAATTTATATTTATAAAATTATTAATTTATCTATAAATACACTAATAATATTATTGATATTAATTTATCAATAACATTATAATACTAGAAATATATATAATTTTATTTATTTAATAATAATAATATTTTTTGATATATAATTGAAAATTACAATATATGTAACCTAAATAAATCTACTAATCGTATAGTTTGATTTCATAAGTTTTAATTGAATAATTTTAATTTCTTGAGTTGTGACAAAATCTTGTAAATCTTTATTTTTTTCATATAGTATTAAATGAACAAGTTTGCAAGTTGACAAAAAAAAAATACATAAAAATGAATGTGATCATTATTTCAATTCCTTTTTAAAATGAAATTAAAAAAATAATACATTTATAAAATTGCCCATTACCAAAAAGTAAAATCACGCAATTTAAATATAATAATTTTTATAGTAATGATGTTTATACATATATATCAAATAAAGTATTTGGATAGCCTACAAAATTGCACCTTAAGATAAAAGATTTGTCTATCTAAATTTATATTACCACAGCTAGAAATATTTATTTGCTTGTATTGTCCACATTATATGAGTTATACAATTATGTAACAATATATTGAAAATAAATAATATTGGAGTGTTGTCAAAATCATGGGGGTATGAAATAAATATAACACACTATTGCATGTTGCTTGTGTTAGAGAATTTTATTATAATTTAAAATTTAATTAAATATTTTATTTAATTACTCTTTCTATTATGTAATGTTTTATTAAATTAATTTGTGTTTTAATATTTTTTAAGTATCACATTAATAGGGTTGAGTAATTATGTTTTTAATAATTTATTCAATCTTTTTTAATAGATTTAACTAAGTATTATTTTGTGGCTATAAATATATCTTTTGATTACTTAGATAAAAAAAAAATGAAAGATACACTTAAAAAAATTTTCCTCCTTCTTAGAGAATCGTGTCTTATTATTAAATATACTTCAAAACCATACTTTTTAATTAAGCATCATTCATTGCATACAATTGATTTGATGAATTATTGTATCTTGGAAGATGAACTCATTACAAATTAGTTTATCATTGCAATGGTGTATTTTTTTCTTTAAGGATAATGTCTAAAGTGTTTTAATTTTAATTTTTCTATATTTTTTATCTTATTTATTTCAATCTATGTTATTTTAATTTATCATGATGTTCATCTTGTTATAATTCATCAATAAATAATATATTTTTTTATTTTTATTTTCGTGGTGAAATCTATGAATATATTTTAAATGATGAATAATTTTTTAATATAAATTTGAATTTTTCCCCACATTATTATAATATATATCAAAATAATTACATTAATTTTTATGAAAAGGTATGAAAATTCTTAAAATCGCTCCAAATTCAAGAGAAAAAAATCACATGTAAGATGTTTTTCTTCAACAAAAGTAATTTCAACATCAATCACTAAAAGACAAAAAAAAAGAAAAAAGAATTGAGGTGGGTTATACAAATAGGATTGTCAATGTTAAAATGGTAAATAAAACTTTTGATGGAAACTTGAACAGAATTTTGTAGTTATGTACCAAAATTTTTTAATTTGGATTATGGTAAGTTTGAACATTTATCCTTATTAATATCATGCATCATAAAAGTCAAAGATAAAGAAAGATATTCCTCGATAATTTCTTTATTAATGATGAATCAATTATCTTATGAATTTAGTGACAAAAATAATACTCCCTTTATTTTAAAGTTTTGGTTCTCTTCGTTTTTACACATAAGTAAAAAATATTTCATTTATATATTTAAATTAAATTAATCTCATTTATTAATTTATAATTTTCTGGAATATTCTCAACTGATACGTTGCATTTTATACACATTTCTATTTTCTGCAATATTTTATTTATGTATTTCTCATTACAAATTCACTTTAAAATGTCAATATGTAAAGCCCTAAAGGGAAAGAAGCAATGCCACATACAAAGATTGCTACATTCTATAGTTAATTTAGTTCAGCAGCTAAAAAATAAGTCTAAAAAAATTCTTTACTAATCTCCACCACTTGTTCCAACAGATTGTTCAATTCATCTACAAATATAACACCAATTGAAGCATGTTTTATTAAGTGTATAGCAAACTTGTCATGATTGGATAAAATGCCTTTCTTGCAATATCTGCCCCAGTTTTTTGTATAGAACTAGCTGCTCCTCTGAATGAAGGTTCCTCATTATCTACATAAATCAAACATTGAAATAATTTTACAACAAAACACTTGTAAAAATTAGCCAACAAATTGCTTAAACTGGAGACTTACCTGGTTCAAAAACATCTCAACTGAATAGTCTTGGGCGGCAACAAACGATTGATGATAAATGTACACAAAAACAGCCATTACCATCTGAAAATGATAGTAACATATTAAGGTTATTCGGTTTAGTTTGTTTGTGGAGATATATTTTTCGAGAGAAGGATAATTATTATATCTTGTGTTTATCCTTTATTTATTGTCCGATATTTAGGATATTTATATACAATTTGACATATTTTATTTTGAATTTTTACCATAATGATTTTATTTTTAATCATTATTTAAAATATCTTTAATTTTTGTTTTAATAAAATGAGACTTTGTTAGTATCTCAACATAACACACTATAATTTTGAGTTTGTTATTACCAATCCAAACACACCATTAAAGGAAGATCTTAGTGGTTACTGATTATTGACTTACTATAATACTATGAAAAACTTTTGGCCTATTCAGATATAAGCCAAGGATGGTTCTAATATGTAATTATCTATGAGCAAACCTGGCAGTCCATTCTATCTGTAAATCCACCGTGTCCAGGTATACTGTCACCAAAGTCCTGTGATTATTGAAAGAGATCAATGCTATTGCTATGTTTAGAAATTTCAAAGTTATCGGAGAAAGGGTGATGGCTGCAAAATAAATGTCTACTACAAAGAGCAAGAACAGACTTTGATTTTAAAAGCTCTTTTGAAACCACTGGCAAAAAATCCTCCAAATGGTGCTATGATTGAAGCAAATAGTCCCATGCACAAGGCATGCCACTGTACTGGCAAAACCGCTATCTCTTTCCAAGAAAGCTGCAAAATGTTGCACAATGAAAAACTTTGTGTTTAGGGAAATATTAAACCATACGAATGCTAATTGTATAAGCAGGATTAACAAAGAATTATTATCATGGGCTTTTTGTTAGATTTTGTTGTGTGCATGAATGTACATGAATGAACACTGTATAGCTTTTCGTACTTTAAGTCTTCTTTTTCTCCGTGAAACGAAACAAATCTAAATAATGATTTTTTTTTGTAATTTGTAGAAAAATATTTTTAATAATAACTTGATGTTGTTTTTATTCATGAATTATTTATATAAAGACTAAACACTAAACTATAAATCATACAAACTAAACCCTAGTCACATACAAACTAAACCTAATCACTTAAACACTAAAATCAAACTATAATATATATCTTAAACTTAAATGTTAAGAATAACATTATTATTATTATTATTATTTAAATAATATGTTGAAAATTTAAAACATAATAAACATCCTAAAATATTGAATTATCCATTTTCAAACTAAAAATATTTAAATATATTCCCAACAAATAAATGGTGTAGTGCTTTTAACAAAGTTTTTAAAATAGTGTACATAATGTGAAGATGAATAGTATTAGTGATGACTAAAGATGGATATTGCAGTAAATATAATTCTCGTTAATCTTTCTTACTTTCAAGATAGATTTATTTTCTTTCCTACTTTTCCTAATTCCTTTTTTTATGTTTTGTTTCCATATTTTCTTTAACAGGTTTAGTTGTTTAGCCTATAAAAAGGGATTTGAGCTTATACCACACATACGCCAAAATATATTCAATTTTGTTTCTGCTGCCACTCTTCATGGCAGAAGAGAAGATAGCATCTTCCCATCCCCTAGATGTCCATGATCTCCCAAATTGTTCGGCTTTATATCAATTTAATGGTCTTCGATGGACCCAACTGGCTCGTATTACTCTCAAAGGGTATAAGAAGTTGACTCGTATGCAATGAAATAATATATTTTTCTATTTTTTACATATATTTAATCCTTTTTTTTCTTTCACATTTATATCATCAAGCTTCCAGAAAGTTAATGGATGTTTACTCACCTCCAACATTTCCAGTATCTCTTGATCAATATCCAAACCAACGTCATTACATGCATGACAGTTTTAAATTCTTTTTGTTGCTGCTAAATCTCAAGAATTCTCACTTACCCAATGAGAAATCAATGCTGGCAATGGAATAGACTCTGGCTGAAAAATTGGATCAGGGTCACACTGAAGCCAACCAGTTGATAAATCCTGAATTTATTTTATTGACCATCATTAGCAGCAACTCAAATATTTTCTTCAAGATGACTGAACAATCAAGAATGTTACCTTTCTTGGACATGTTAGCCACTGGAAGCGACCCAAGAAGTTTGCAAACTGCACAAACACAGGTGAAATCATCATGCAAAGCAAAAATACTTAAAAATATCATTAAATCAACAAAAAGTGGAGGTTGTGTGGCAAATAGCCAGAATACAAATGATCTAGTAAAGCTAGTTCCAACATATGTAAAAGTCAAACAAAATAAAAAAAATGAGTGGATTTTGAAAGTTTTCTGGGATGTTAGTTTCTTAGCATCTATCCTGAATGAGGATAGTTGTTACGGTCAAAAAGAATGACTAAACAGAAGCAGGGTATCAGTAGATGCTTACTGTAAATGCAGCAATCATAGTTGCAACAGATGCTCCAATGAAACCTTCCCATGTTTTCTTTGGAGAAAGCTTTATCAGAGGGGTTTTGCCGAAAAAGAAACCGAAGAAATATGCAGCAACGTCATTCATAGCAATAAGGGACGCAGGGAAAATAAACCTTCCATAATTATATTAACATGTTAGATTGTAACAATAAAAAATAAAATCATTTAAAGTATGAAAACACAGCGGTTAGCAGTACCAAAGAAATTGATAGAGACTATTTATTGTTTATTGATTTAATGTGTCCTTTTATATAAGTAACTGTGTAATTCAACAGTTTTCTGATCAAATATAAATGAAGCTAGATTGCATAGAATCATATTTGGAAAAAGATGTTTAAGTAAGCTAAAACCACATAAAATAGGAAAGAATAAACTAAAAGAAGGAATTATAAAATATAGATTTCATCAAGTAAGATAACAGAAGTCATGTTACCAGAATATCCCTTCAAATATATTGGCTACCGTGAATGCAGACTGGGTAAACACAACAATAAGTATCATATGTGTCCATGCATACTGGCCAAACTGATACTTGTAATATCTCTTCTTCAAGGAAAGAATAAACCAAACAAAACCTGAAATCACACATGAAATGACTTATTCAACAAACACTTGAAGCTGCAGAAGACTAGAGTAATATGATATCTGAGAGCAAAAACCATTCAACAGGATTGGTTCAGATTTATGAGGAAATATGTCCAACAAAGACAGGACCTATAGGTTTCTTGACTGAACACATATAATTATTCATGTTTCCTCTCTTAAAAAGTTTGGTTACATCAACATTCCTATGTATGAAACGTTTGGAAGTACTAACCTGCAATATATAAGAAGTAACATATAGCCATCTGATACTTGATCAGGATGCTCACAAGTCTAAAGAAGAATTTATCTGAGATCACTGTATTCACAAGGTGTTGACTGAGAATACGGCCATATACGTATAGCATTGCTGTGAAGAAAAAATGCCTGGAAATTGCATTCAGAATCTTATCTTTGTGAAACACATTTATGTTAAACATTTGTCATATGCACATGATCATTTAGAAATTACAGTAGCATAAATGCTTACCAGTTCAAAAGCTTAATCTTAGGGAGACGTTTATCTTGATTAGCTCTTCTCAGGAGATTGAAGAGCTCACTGGCCATAAATATTTGGATAATAACCACCATGGCCCAGATGTAAAGATGACCCATGTATATGATAAGTGAGACACTCGCTAGCATCCACAAAGATGAGTATGCACGAATCCACATTGATCTGTATTTATATTTATCATTGATAAGTAGATGGTTTCCATTTGATTTGCTTATCTCCAGAGGAATCTGACATAAAAAAGCTAGCATCAGCTTCAAATTCTCCAAAATGAAATGCCAACCAAATGGATCAGTAATAATAAGGAAACTTTGGAGACATACATAGCTTCCCATATTAAACACTATATTTTTCCTACCAATGACAATTTTGGTTTAACCATGTAATTAGTGCAAGGTATTTATCAACTTTATCTATAACTAATATTTGTTCGAGAACCTAACCGACTATTTTTAGTTAGATTTCTCCTCCCAATCATTTATTTTTCTATTCATAAGATTTGAATTGGAGACCTTATTAAAGAGATCAAATCTAATTCTGCTTTGATCAATAACTTGTTAGTTCTTAATGAGCATTTTTTATCCCTCAGGAAGTGATTAACAAAACAATCATTCAAAGCTGAACTAGATATAGATTAGAAATAATGTGTAGAGGAGTGAATCATAAATTTGTGCATATTGACAGAACCAAATGTTGTCTAAAGTAACAGAATCTAGATAACAGGTCTTGCAGCAGCATAACTTCACACTAAAACTTGAAATTTGAGATAAATGTAACCCAAATCACAAATATACAAGCTAATTGAGTGCACCAACCTCATTTGAGCGTCTTCTTAGCCGAGCATTTGGTGTTCTTGGTGAACTACAGTAATTATCCGTATGTATATCTCTCATTGTTGAAGTGATTATTCAAATATTTTTAGAGTGATATACATGCATGGACTGAAACCTCCCCTGCGACATCAGATGGCAAAAAATTATGAAAGCAAACGGGCACATTCGCAATAGGAATCCCAGAAATGCATCCAAAGCTTGTATGAAGGATTCCTTAAAATTCAGCACTCATACTAAATATACACAATCACTTTCATTATTTGGAAAGTTCAATACACAGCAAAAGAGAGAACAAAATAGTGTAAACAAATTCATTGTGATATCCAAAAGTAATAAAAGTTGAAGCCATCCTAACACAGTTAAAGAAATTAATGACTTTAGGTACAAAATGGTCTTGATGTATGTATGTCCATTAACCGAATTTAACAATGCTAACAAACAGCGTGAGGATTGATTCAAGATGTTTTGAAACAATAAACATGTCCGCAACATATAGTTAAAGTTACATGAAAATAGACCATTGATTATCACACTCTCACAAAATTGCAACCCTTTTTCCATGATGCACAAGTTGTGCTCAAAACAAAAATGGGATAATCACTCTAACAACCAAATAATTGAAACTATATATAAAAGGGAAAAAGAAGAAAGAAAGAAAGAACAATGGAGAATGGAGCAGCAGGTGAAGATTTAAGAGTACATACTTAGATTGAAGAGGTAGAAAATGACAAAAGGATCAACAGAAAATTGAGAAAATGTTGTTAGATGTGGCTTTGCTATGTTTAAGGAAAACTAGAATACCAGAAAGCATATCAGGACAAGACATAGCAGGAGAGAGAACAAACTACGAGAGATACGTAATGGTCCTCATTGACCAGTAATTAATCGTGGGTTACTTAATACTAATAAATATAAATTTATAATATTTTTTTTTTGTTACAGATATAAATTTATAATATAAATCTATTAATAAAATTTCTAAAAGATAAATAACACCATGTAGACAAGATGAATAATAGTTAACTAATTTCATTTTTCTTAATCTAGACTTGTCCTATACAATATCATGTTTTAAAATCGTTGAATGTATAATACTCTCCTCAGTTTCAATGAGTATATCCTTATTATCATAAATGATTAAGCATATTGATACAAGCCAAGCACCTATTATTCAATTTCTAAATCGATTCTTCACGATCTTCAAACAATAGAACACTTACAATTATATTGTTGCAATGGGTAATATGTTTGGGCCTAAAACGAACATGCTTAAGTCTCGATTGCGATTTAATTTTCGTTTCAATTGATTTATTTATGAAAGACACCAAAATATAATTCATCAAAACTTGAGGATATAGATTGGCACGGCGTATGTTCATTTTCTGTTTATATTTTCAGTAAAAATGAAAAATAGAGATGAAAACATGCTTGTTAAATTTTTAGAAAATATTTTCTATAAAAAAAATTAAAATGAAGGCTAAAATTGAAAAAAAATAATCATTTTTGATATTTTTCGGCAAAATAAAAATGCAATGATATAAATTATAATTATAAAACAGTTTTATTTCCAAATCACATCATCCCATCTACGGATAAAAAAAATAAAAATCACCTCATTGTCTCTTCACTATTTATGCCGGTTGTTTTATTGTGGTTTTCTTTTACTAGACATGAAATGGGATATATGTACATAAACATATAAATGTCTTATATATATTTTCTATAACTTATTAATAAATATAGGTGGATAAGTTGTATACATGTATATATAATTAACATATATCAATATAAATATATTTTTATTATTAAAAATCTTTTGCAAATATATTTTTTTTTTTGTGAATTCGTTTGCAAATTTATAATAAGAACATTTCATTTTTTTAAGTAGTTAAATTTAGTATATTTTTAGTTTTTTATTTATTTTTGGAAAATAAAAAATAGGTCCTTAAAACAAATATATTTTCTAAATCTTGTAGATTTAAAAATGAAAATTATTTGAAAAATTGAAATTGAAGATAAAATATTTTCGTAAACCCAACAGAACATATAATTGTTATGTTTCTCAGCGTGTTTGGTAATAGACTTTAATGTGCTTTTTTTTTTTCTTCTTTTAATACAATTTTTAAGTGTATTTCGTTACATGTATGACATGATTTTTTTATATATTTTTTTTCGTTTGCAAAGACATTACCAATTAATATTCTACATTATTTTTAACATATTGACGTAATTTTGTGTGTTTGTAATGTGTGTCTAAACACGTTATTTCCCAATTACAGGTTTTTTTAAGATGGTTAGAAATAAGGTGTAACTTATTTGAATCACTCTTCTAAAATGCATAGATATTGCAATAAGCAACGTAAAATTAGAAAATGGGCAACTAAACAAAACAAGCCTAACTAGTAAAAAGTTGTTTAGCCTTAGCAAATTAAACTATAATTTGAACGAACATTAATTCCATTCCGTTGGCGTAACAACAATGTCGCAAGTGGCAAATCCAAGAACTGGGTCCACGATGACAATATATTTAACCATCAATTAAGGAAGTAGGTATCATGCGACAAGTAAGAAAGTAGGTATGATACGAGAGAAAGGCTTACAAAGATTTGTGCCAACTATAAAATTAACTCACATGAGATGATGACATTATAATTACTTAAACCAACGTTTATTTAAAACAAGATGGGTCACTTTGGTCGATGATCGATTGGCAAATAATTGATAATACAAATGCATGTGACTGCTTTAGAAGTTGTGCTTTCGGCTGGTCAATGCAACTATGCAATTTCTCAAGTTCAAGATCTATTATATATAGAAAAAGAATGTTATCAACACTATTTATGTGATACTCTCTTTCTAATATATTTTTTTTTGTTACTTAAAATTTATTAAAACTATAAGTTTAGTGAGCTTCACACTTATTTAATGAGCCTCTCGTAATTTAATGACACAACTAACTACATTCATGATGAGAAAATATATATTAATAACAAAGTATAAGCAATTCTTATAGTTTATATTCTCCCTGCCTAGGTCACATGTTGCATGGACCAACCCACATGTGTGTTCCATTGTTGGCATCTTGATTATCGAATTGCGGACAGGACATAACGTGTGTTGGAAAAAATCTAAACCCACTACGTATTGAGCAAGAAGCATGAAATTGTGCTATCTATAGAAAGAATAGTGAATAAGTACAAAAAACAGAGTTGTTAGGTGGAAGGTGGGGGACGAACTTGGAGGCTCATGGTCCCCTCTAACCTTTAATTCTCTTTGGTATTATGTAGTCATATCGCTATTATATATTTAACTTCCACAAAAAAGTTATATAAATACATTATGGATATTTTATTCTAGATAAGACACAACTTTACCAATTATCAAAAGCATGAAATAATACTTAAAAAAGAGAGTATATATAAATTTTGAAAAGTTAATATTCATAATTAATCAAATCTTGCAAGTTTACAGTGTACAAAAATCATTTTCATACTAAACAAATTTTAGGTTTGGATGTGATTTTCGCTTTTAACTTTCTTGATATTTTGAGTGAAAATTGTCTCATTTATTATTATATATTATGAAAAGTTTAAGTATTACATCAACTAAAAATAAAATAATCAAAAATATATAAATGGAGATAATTCTTAGTTTATAATTTGATTTTGTAATAATGTTAAATGTGAAGGGGTATATTAAAATAAACTTAAGTCATGTTTATCCTAAATCATTAAAAAGAGTTATCCACCATTTATTCACATACCAAACTTAATGATATTAAATGTAAAGGATGTATAGGAAAATATTAAAGTCTTACATCGATTAAAGATAAAAATAATTAAATAATATATAATAAGTAGGAGGACAATCATTACCTTATAAGTCAATTTTGTAAATTAAGTTAAGCGCATAATCCAAATTTTAAGATTAATAAAGATCAATAGTTATATTTCATAACAAAGTTGTTACTAGGTTTAATTTTGATTATTTTTATTTTTGCTTTGAGTGATGATATTTGTAAAATTAATATATAAAGAAATTCACAATAGTAAATAATAAAGAATTTGAAATGTAATTGTTGGAAATAATTTTTATTTTATTTTCTCTACGCACAATAATGAGAGACTACAAAAAGAAAATTCTTAAGGAAAAAAAAATTATACAAAATTTATTCAACGTAATTTGACTTCTCAAGTTTGCGTCTACAGCATCTCTATTATCTAAACAATATATTACATATGTTTTGAAAAATCTTTTCTTAAATTTTATGAATTGAAATTTGAAAATTTTTCTCACAAATTTTATGATAAATGAAATTTGAAAAACCTTAATACATATGATATCCTCTCTCATTTAGAGCGTCAATCCTTTTTATAGATTGATAATCTTTTTCATCTCAAAAGTCTTTATTAATTAACCAAACATTCTAATTTTTTTAAGAAATTAAATAAATAATATATTTAATTTTAAATAATATCTTAAAAATAAATAATATTAATTTATTTTTGAACAATACCTTAGAGATTTAAAATTAATTTTTTTTTATAGAATTGTTATATGTGTATCGGTGTCTATATAAAAAAATAATATTACTTTTAATCAAAACTAAGTTAAATTAATCGATAGTATTTTGAATTATTAAATTTTTTTAAATAAGTCTCCATACATTAAAAACATGTTTTTTTACAACCATACATTAAAAACATTGAAGCAATAAATCTCTCAGCCTATAAATAATTTGTAATTGAATTCCTAGAGTTGGACTTTTATCAATATGCCATGAAGTTATATGTAGAAAGTATTCTCGATGTCATTCAAGAATTAAGGTTAAATTAATGAGTAAAACTCTAAACTATTTAAAATTTCCAATTACGTAATTAAATTCCTATATCATCAGGGTTTAAGATTTTTTTTTAAATAAATCTATAAAGTTGTTGACGGTTGACTTAATTTTAAGGACCACATTATAAATAATTTATAAATTTTAAAAAATAAACGTATTAGTTATTTTAACCTTAAAAATATATAGGTAAAACAGTAAAAGGACTCAAACAACTTCCCTCATTTAACCTCAAGCGTGTGGTTCAGCGGTAGGGGTTGATCCACGCTTAAGCAAGGTTAGGGGTTCGAATCCTGCCTTGTGTATGCAGCCGCGTTAAATCTTGGGGTCAGTTATCCCACCCTTTGAGGTGCCTCTAGAGGAGATTAGTCACTGTTGTCGGCGGTGAATAATCCAGGGACGAACAAAAAAAAAAACAACTTCCCTCATTTCAATTATTATTATTTTTTATTTTTTATTTCTAAGATTTTGATTTAAATTAATTTGATTCGGTATGTAGGTAAGTAAAGTTTAATAAAAAATTATTTCCAATCGAATTTAGACATTGTCCGTACAATACTAAACCTAAAGTCGACTTGTTTGAACAATATCATCTTTAGTAAAAATAATTATTAATCAAAAATTTATCTTTTAATTAAATTAAATTAGTCTAAAATAAAATTTTAAAATATTATTGTGAAAAGAAAAAAAACTTGTATCGTTAATCACGAGTCAAAACCTTAAGTAAAGTAAAATAATACTTATTAATTATAGTAGGATATCCTTCCTAACATACCAGAATAAAGCGATAATTTTTCTTCAATGATTTAAGTATAAAAGAAGAATCTAACTCTTAACTTAAGATTAGTTTGGAAAAATTTGATGGCTTAAATTTACATTAATTAATTAAGCTCCTCTTCCATGCATTTCACGTTTTCTTCACGCACGAATGAAAAGAATTTTATCTAAAAGATTAATTTATAAGTTAATCACCTATACACCGTCAGTGTAAAATTT